AGGACATTCATTAATTGCTACCAATTTAAGAGCTCTCTTTTTCATTTTTTTTTCCGAAAGGGAAGAAGTAAATGACCAAAAACAAAATGCCTTCATTCTTAACCTTTGCAAATTAGAACTTTTAGAAGACGCCTGTGCGGGAAATAAAATACCTAGAATATTCAGAAAAAGAGTTCAAATGTCAAAATTCAATCTTCTAGTATATTGCAAACGATTGTAGATACCAAGAAAAAGTACGCCTCATTTACATGATTAAGACAGCGTGTGCAACAAACACGATAAAGCATAAACTGAAGATGATTGTATATTGTATAACGTCCGTCTCCACAATATTTCACTGATATGGAAACGTCACCATTGCCGGTGAGGGGCTGCAAATTTAGGCCTATGCTCGGCACTCAGGGCCTTTGAGCAGGGAGAGATCTTAATCGTGCCACACCTTCTATGACATGGGACCTCTGTTTAAACGGTCTCATCCGAAGGACCGCCCCATTTAGTCGCCTTCTACGACAAGCAAGGGGGTACTGAGGACCTTTTCTAACCCGGATCCACACGGGGCCATAATCTGAAGAAAGACAAGGAATAAAACTTGGCTTTTTCTCACTAGGAAGTTGGTCTGCAAGATTGAGTGTGCAGCATTGAGACAATCACTGTGCATTTCTAACCAACATACGCCACCAACATATGCCAATGCAATAATTTTTTTTTACATATCATTTAAAATACGTATATAGATTTTAAAAAGTGATTAAATAATTCAAAATTGTAAAAATGTGGCCCAAGTTGATTCAAAGAACAACTCAAAACATAATAACGGACAAGAGAAACAGTGGTCTATCCGTATAGGTATGGCAGACAATGAATACGAACAGACAACATTTGTAACATCGTCAAAACAGATTTCTATATTTAAAAATTTTGCGGTTTATAAAGCGTAAACTGGCTCGAGTTATGTTGTTTAACATAGGTTTTAATAAGCTTAATTCCTTTTAAATTAATAATAATAATAATAATAATAATACTTTATTTAAAGAGGGTAACCCGATAAGTGCAATGCACTAGTCTTCCTCGGGGCCCTCTAAACACATTCACAATAATACAATTATAAAAACATTGTACAATATTATAATAAATAATACAACATGACGTGAAAATACAAGGACATATACATATCGATTCAAGGACATGGAATTATATAACTTTTAGCTGCGATATGTTATAATGAATTTTTCTACATTTTTACGAAAAGTTTGTACAGTTGGTGAAAAACGGATATGCAAGGGTAATTTGTTCCATAAATGAACACCGGAATAATGAAAAGAATTCTTAAATTGATTTGTTCGATATTTCGGTAGATGAAGGTCATAGTTTGTTTCAGAACATAATTATTAGAAGAAAAGAATTCAAAGGAATCTCTTAAATAAGTTGGTGCCATACCATGAAGTGTTTTGTACAGTAATATATATTTATGAAAATCAATTAACTCATATATGGTCAGTCATCCAAGTTTTTCAAATAATGGTAGTGAAGGGGCATCATAAGCCACATCTAAAATAAGCCGGGCTGCCCTTTTTGCAATTTAAAAACTCTATCTATGTCAGCATCTGGCGCATTACCCCAAATAGTAAGACAATAATTCAAAGAAGGCAGAATGTATGCATTATAAAATAGTTTTCTCGTGTGTAAGGGAAGAATTTTTTTAATTCTGCGTAAAGTATACAATTTATAAGTCAAAGATTTACAGACTGAGTCAATATGATAATTATAGCGCAATGAATGGTCAATATGTACTCCCAAAAACTTTTCAGATTCAACGTTTTCAATTAATTTGTTTGAAGCATAGAAATTTAGTTCAGTAGAATTTATTCTTGATTTTCTTTGTTGATTCCCATGAGCATACATTTTGTCTTGTTGGTATTTAACACCATTTGATTTTTGGAACACCAATTTTCTATCTCACACAAATCAAAGTTTAGGGCATTCTCAATACCTTCTATATTTTTATGATATGTATGTAAGGTTGCATCATCAGCAAACATATCAATATCTGTTCTATTTACATGTAAAGGGAGATCATTTATATACAATAAAAATAATAAGGGACCTAAGATAGATCCTTGGGGTACTCCTGCTGTGACGGGCAAAAAATCAGAGGACTATGTACCTATTTTTACACACTGAGACGTTAATGTTAAACAAGATTGAAACCATTTAATAGCCATTTGGTCAAAGTGATATGATTGATTGATTTTATGTTGTTAAACGTCCCTCTCGAGAATTTTTCACTCATATGGAGACGCCACCACTTGCCGGTGGAGGGCTACAAATTTTGTCCTATGCTCGGCACTCACGGCCTTTGAGCAGTGAGGGATCTTTTTCGTGCCAGCACCTACTGCGACATGGGGCCTCGGTTTATACGGTCTCATCCGAAGGACCGGTCGCCACGTCCCACAGTGGGATTCGAACCCGCGAAGTAAGGATCGACTCCTTACTTCGCGACTCTAGAGCAGACGCTCTAACCACTGCGCCACGCGGGCGACGTGATATGATTGAAGTTTATTTATAAGGATATCATGATTAACCAAATCAAATGCATTGCTAAAATCGATGAAAGTTATGCCTACTAAATTTCCTTGGTCCATAGCTTGTAATCAACTAGTGCTAATTGTAACGGGGACCGTTACAGATGTTCCCCAAACGCTTCCCAACTCCATTTTGGTGCCTGACCCCTGTTGGCTTCATTAAATAAGACAAACCCTATGCATTTGAGACTTTAACGTTTACCCAGAAGTGTACCAAGTTCATTCAAATTTTAGCATTGCACGCGTGTGAATGCATATGCGTAATGACCATATCATATTGTCTACAGAATCTATATATTTTAATATACTAAATATTAAAGTATTTAATCCAAAAGTATTTAAAAAAATACGCTCATTCAAGTGTATTTTTGATTTTACTCATTTCACGTGCATGCACGTGCATACATGAGCATGGTGACCATACCTTCTTGTAGAAGTCCTTTACATCTATATATGTTCTAAATCCCACCCCGTTTGGTTGAAAACCAAGGGAGCTATACCTGTTTAAAGTTTCAGCCAATCAGATTGCAGCACATGTACACGCACATGTATGCAGGTGCATGATGACCATACCTTCTTGTAGAGCTCCATTATGTCTATCTATGTTCCAAATCCCATCCTGTTTGGTTGATAATCAAGGGAGTTATAGCTATTTAAATTTTAAGCCAATCAGATTGCAGCGCACGTGCATGCACGTGTTTTCATGATAATTGCTATATATCGTATTGTAGAACATGCTAAAATATGCCTATGTTTTAAATTTCATAGCATTTCGTCAAAAAACAGAAAAGATATTGAGATTTTTGTTTCAGCCAATCAGAGCGAAGCGCACGTGCATGCGCGTGAGATCTTGCTATTTTGACCATGTCATATTGTCTATGCTACTAATATATCCTTATATTATGAGTTTCAAAGCATTTCATCAAAAATGTGAAAAGTTACGCCTATATCAATTAAATCGGTCATTTCACGTGTTGCACGTGCACGCTCTTGCAAGCACGTGCGCGCAAAATGACCTTCGTTCCGCAAATCTACATAACATGTCTACTGACCCTAAAAAGGTTTTATCTAAGTCGGATGTGAAGTTTACAAGATCACTCCCGGACAAAAAAGTACCCAGGAAGAAGAAGAAAAATAATAATAATAATAAGAAACAGAGTAAAAACAATATGTTCCCCAACTTCGTTTGGGGAACATAATTACCTGTAAGTTTTGTTAGAGCCGTTTGACATGAGTGAAATTCTCGAAGTCCAGATTGTGATTTAAATAAGATTGATTGATTGTATATTGTTTAACGTCCCTCTCGAGAATTTTTCACTCATATGGAGACGCCACCACTTGCCGGTGGAGGGCTACAAATTTTGTCCTATGCTCGGCACTCACGGCCTTTGAGCAGTGAGGGATTTTTTTCGTGCCAGCACCTACTGCGACACGGGACCTCGGTTTATACGGTCTCATCCGAAGGACCGGTCTCCATGTCCCACAGTGGGATGATTTAGATAAGAGATCAAAGCTAGAGGTAAAGTTACGTATCTGATTGGCTGTGTTTTTCAACTAATTTTGATAATGTTGGAAGAATGGATATCGGTCTGTAGTTCCCTTGATCTGCATGGTCGCCATTTTTGAAAATAGGAGTGACTTTTGCTTGTTTTAAACGGGATGGAAATACTCCATTATTAATGCTTGTATTTATAAGATGTGTAATAGATTTGCATATATAATTTAATAATATATAATATAATTTAATTTTAGTAGAGACAATAAGACAACATTTTCTCCAATAATGGCTTCAAATTGATCATATTAGAAAAGTTACGTAACGCGGAGTAATCATGTTTTTGAAGTAACTCATTGTGACGTAGGTATGTTATGTTATACGATATAAAATAAATCTTTTAATCGTTAAAATAAATAAATCGTCCAATCACATGACGTGTTACAACTAAAATTAAATTCTTTCTTTCTTTTTTTATTTGTTTTGTGCAACGCAGGTTTTGGATTTAAAAAATATTTTGTTTAGAGACAGAAGTACTTTTAAGAACTTCTAGGTAAAAATACAAGCAGGTCCATATAGTGATATATATAATACTGCCTAAAAAAGGTGTGGCAGTTAATTTTCAATTTGCAGTTTAAACTTAAGGTTCAAAACACTAAGTTTGAACTTTGATATCTACATACCGTATATTTCAACTAAAAAGAATCTAGAAAATAACATCTTTGTATGTCGATGAATAAAATTAGCGAAAATTCCATGATCAGCTCTTATCAAGTTGTTTAAAAAGCGATTTTTCGATAAAGATCAACTTTTTTTATTTGTAGAACTTTAAAAAAAATATTCCTTTCAGCAAAACACAAAATCCGATTGACACAGCCAACAAGGAAGATGAAAAACGTCACACATGGTAAAATCAACCAAAAATGAGGTTGAAAGACAGCTTGGTGGTTTTTCTGTTATTATCTGTATCAAAAACTTTATGCTTTGGTAAGATTCTATAAAACATGATTTTTCAGTAGGCGAAAACAATTTTTTTTTCCGTTTGATCATTTCAATCATAATGCTTATTCCAATGTAATCTTTTTTCAGTTAATCTGGCACACACACCAGGAAAACATCTACAGGGAAACGCATCATGGAATGTCATTGCTCACCAAGACGACTGGGAAGCTGATAAAGCAGTTGATGGAAATACAAATCAGACATACCAACCTACTTGTGCTATTGCTCAATATGCTAATGGCTATAAATCAGTATGGTGGAAAGTTTGGTTACAAAGGATCTTTAATGTAGCGTATCTGGAACTATATTTCCGATTTGGTAGTAAGTAACGTTAGTTAATTTTGGCAATATTGATAGCTATGCTTTTGCTAAAAGTGAAAAAAAAGATTGATATGTCATTAGTTACAAGTTCATAATATTAAGTAAAATCACGAAAATATCATTTCCAAACAATGTCAAAAATAAATAACTTTAATCAGATTTCGAATAAAAAGTTTGCGTTTTTTAAGGATACCTCTTTTGCTATAGATTTTTCTTGATATATGACTGTAATAATCATTCAATACAAGTAGACGAAATTTTATTGATCAAAACTTTGTAGAGGACATGGAGCACGGACCTCTGGAAATTCCAGAGGTGAGATCAGGTGCCTAGGAGGAGTAAGCATCCCCTGTTGAGAAGAGCCTATTAATTGATGAAGGTTAAATTGGGAAGTCAAATCTGGTATAAAAACAAAATACAAACATTAAGGATCAAACAAATCAGCAAAAACATGTCCCAGAGATAGATCATATTTCATAACAAGGGGAAAAAGACCTTAGAATTAACAATTTGAAGACTACGAGTTCCCCGTAAGATCTTTCTTTCATTAAATATAGCATACCCCACTTTCAAAATTGATCGTACATAACAAGCTCTTGGGTAGAAAATGAGTTGCATTTCAATACGTCATAAGCAGGTGATAGTTGAGTATTTACTTTATAATAAGGAATATGACAATGAAAAAGCTATCTCGGTTGTCAAACAACTAAGTTGTTAGTCGGTCTTCTAAATTCCGATTTTTAAATTTTAAGTTGATGAAACAAGAATATCAAAAGTCTTGTTTAAAGTCATCATTTCGTAAGCTCTATGGTCGATACAAAGACCTTGTTAGCAAATACAATTTATCATTGAGTCAAATCCTGACTGACGTTGTTCATACTTGTTGTTAGGCCATTATATACACACTGAATTGTCGACGGAGTATCCGTTATTTCTCAATTATGACAAAGAGCAGGAGTGACCGATCGGGTATTCTCACTCTCCCATGGCACCTGATCCTACCTCTGGTGGTTTGAAGGGTCGTGTTTTCTCTCATGCTCTTATTTTGCTTGATAAACTTTTAATTTTGATAACTGTTCATAATCTGCACACATTACATTACTAATATAAGTGTTTTCATACCTATTTGTTAACCCATTTTCTGTCAATCAAAGCTCTGAAAATAGAGTGAAACTAAGCATTTTATAGTAGTCTTCGTCTGGAATTTGAAACAAAATCATGTTTTGTGGGAGAAAAACTGAGATGGCTACTTTCACAGGTCATATAATCTTTTTTTTAATATTGTTTACTGTGGTTAATGTATTTTTATTGTCATTTTAGGGTTATATCATTGTCAACTTTTAAAAAAAAATTCGTATTGAACAACAATAAAACAAATTAATTTTACCTTAAATTTTTTTGTTCTAATTTTACGAGAAAAACCACCCAAAAGTAAGTAATTTATTTCAAATGAATTAAAGCATGTTGCTTCAATTTTTAGAAGAAAGTGTTCATCTTTTATAGTTGAGACATATGAGGTTTATGGAAGATAATTCCTGTGTCTTTCAGTTGCAGACAGGCTAACCGGATTTTCCATTTATGTCTATAATGACATCTCGTTTGTTCCCCCCTCTGGAAACAAAGGAACTTTCGTGTATCACCATGACCCCATGTCAGGTTGTCCAAGATCTCTTCAGAGCATAACTGTGAATAAAGTAGCACAGGGAGTAGCCTTCTTTAACGATAGACCTGATGGATATCTGTCAAACTGTGGGGATTTGACAAGGACTTCAATAGAAATATGCGAAGTCAGGGTAATGGGTAAGATGCACTTCTTGTTTTATTGATAGTTTGACTTTAAGAGGTAGGGCATGCGCAAATAAAGAGGAGTTTATATAACACCTTATGGTATCTACTGTATTCTTGTACGTTTTTTGTTGAACATCCTGTAAACAATTTTTAATGACAAGAAAAGTAACTACTGATAAGACATCCTCTATCATCTATATTATATCCTACAGGTTGTGAACAAGATAGATATGGTTCTGGATGCGGTGGGACATGCAGTTCTAAGTGTAAGGATAGGCATTGTGATGTTTTTAACGGATCGTGCATTTATGGTTGTTCTGATCCCAGTGTTGGCTCTCCTAGTTGTAGTGGTAAGTTTGTTTTAGGACAAAAGATATTCACATGTATTATAAAATCGGAGTTCCTCGTCTACGTTTAGTAAAAAAACAATCAAAACTTCCTGTTTCGATTTCAGCGAAGTAGAATAGGGTAAATAAAAGCGAAATTAAGACAAAAAAATTCTTTTTATCAAGTGTGACTGTCAAAAAAACCCAGCTATGCATGTGTGGCAATACTCCTGTTTAACTACCTGAAAGTTATGAAACAAATGCTCAAACGAGAAATCAATATTTTCTATATCAATATTGTAGGTGAAATTCAAATTGCAGCAAACTATCAATGAAAATGTGACAAAGAGTATAGTTATATAAAAATACTGCTTATTTTATTATCTTTAAATATCCTTTGTAAAGCAAGAGGCCCATGGGCCACATCACTCACCTGAAAAGCTTTGACCATTCTGTTCTTTACCAGATTTCCCCCTTGTTACACATAATGCATCTCCACCTTACCCCACTGATCATAATTTAGACATTTTGAAATCTACACTACCCCATGATCCTTCCATGGGCACATATGTTTCAGCTTTTTTGGCCCAGTGGTTCCTGAGAAGAAGATTTTCAAAGATTTTTCCTATACTGAAAGGAAAAAGAAACGCATAATAGCATAATAGCGAAATATATTTGACTATAAGGCCGAAAATTATGAAAATTGGTCAAATGTGTATTTTGATTACTGTGCACTAAAATTGCTGGTCAAAATTACTCAACCATGAAATGTATGGCGTCACGTAGGGGAAATGATAAAAAGCCAAAAACATGTGCATGTTGATGATGACAATTTTATGATCACATTTTGTGGTGCTAATCGATGCATTGGAGTTATAGACATCGTTTTCCGCATTTGAAATCAGTATAAATTTCGTGCAATCATGGTATGGCTGACGGAAGTTACAATGGTTCCAGTAATTGAATTGCGTAAGTGAATGAAAAGGCAAAAAGATGTTGCTGTGCAGTTTGGTTTAAACTTTTCAACAAGAAAGGGTTTTTCAGTTGTCAGAGAGTAAATTAAAAGGTTTCCAACCAACCATGGTGGTGACGTTGACGCTTAACAACGTCACATCAAGACAGGGCTTTTCATCATGTCACCTCGGTTGTTGTCAAGGTATTATCACTGAAACCGATATTTATACAGCAAACTATCATACCAATATTTTCACCCTAAAATTGACAGAAATTCTCTGCTCTAATTTGGTACGCGAGCTTGGCAACTTTTACGTCGATTTTACTCTCACGCTCGCACGTACACGTCGTGTGCGTAATGTTTTTAGCATGTTCACATTGGGAAAATGTAGCCAGTGTTTGTCGAGACTTTCTCACAAACATTCACGTGTACCAAACCAGCTGGATTCTAAATTCTATCCTAAAATGAAAACGTGGCACTCATTTGGCGGGGGGGATTTGTTGGCTTTGGAATAATGCAGCTTCTATAAACCATTAAGACTATTGTCGGAAGAGTTGAATAATAATCAAATGAGAAAGATAAATGCTCTGGTGAACTCAATGCACAGGAAAATCAAGGCTGTTACCAATGTGCAAGGGAGATTATGAGAATTTTTATTTTAATTTTGGGGGGTATCGACATATCAATTTCAATAACTCAGGAATTATCAGTCAAAGTCACACAAGATTTTGGTAACTTGTAGATTAAAGATGAATTAAAATGTTTGATAACAATACTGGAAAACATTTTCGAAATAATAGTTTTAATTTAGTTTAAAAGTAAAATATGCGTTTCTTTTTCCTTTCAGTATATATATTTCTATGTAAAACTTTGATTCCCCATTGTGGCCCCGCCCTTCCTCTGGGGGTCATGATGTGAACAATTTAGAATCTTCATTATACCAGGATGCTTCCACATAAGTTTCAGCTTTTCTGGCCCAGTGGTTCTTGAGAAGAAGATTTTCAAAGATTTTTCCTATATATTTCTATATAAAACTTTGATTCCCCATTGTGGCCCCGCCCTTCCCCCGGGGGTCATTATTTGGACAATTTAGAATCTACATTATACCAGGATGCTTCCACATAAGTTTCAGCTTTTCTGGCCCAGTGGTTCTTGAGAAGAAGATTTTCAAAGATTTTTCCTATATATTTCTATATAAAACTTTGATTCCCCATTGTGGCCCCACCCTTCCCCCGGGGGTCATTATTTGAACAATTTAGAATCTATATTATACCAGGATGCTTCCACATAAGTTTCAGCTTTTCTGGCCCAGGGGTTCTTGAGGAGAAGATTTTCAAAGATTTTTCTTATATATTTCTATGTAAAACTTTGATTCCCCATTGTGGCCCCGCCCTTCCCCCGGGGGTCATGATGTGAATAATTTGAAATCTACACTACCCCAGAATGCTTCCACATAAATTTCAGCTTTTCTGGCCCAGTGGTTCTTGAGAAGAAGATTTTTTAATGACCCAACCCTATTTTTGTCTTTTCTTGATTATCTCCCCTTGCGAGGAAATATGTCCCTTTATTTTAACAATTTAAATTCCCCTTTACCCAAGGATGCTTTGTACCAAGTTTGGTCAAAATTGGCCCAGTGGTTCTTGAGAAGAAGTCGAAAATGTGAAAAGTTTACAGACGGACAGACAGACAGACGACGGACAAAATGTGATCAGAAAAGCTCACTTGAGCCTTCGGCTCAGGTGAGCTAAAAAAGTGTCCCAAGAAAAAGGGAAAAGAAAATTATTCCATTAAAAGAGCACCTTTATCACATTTTCAATTTAGAATGTCTTGATGGGTATTATGACAAGACTTGCAGTAATAAATGTGGGAACTGTCTCCAAGGAGTTTGTGACAAGAAAAATGGCACTTGTAGGAGTGGGTGCTTACAGAACTGGCGGGAACCGTTGTGTCAAGGTACGATTTTATTTTTTTCTTCCTTAATAAGATATCGTAAGAATAATGGTTATAGAAAAAAATGTTTATCCCATATTAGCGTAAGGAAATATATTTACTTTCTGAATCCATAATTTTGCTTCAAATAAAAGAAGTCTTTTTTTAAATCGGAAACAGCATTAGAAAAAAAGGCCAAAGCTGATTTTCCGTGTAGCGTATTTCGTATGAAGTATATTTTTTCTATTGTACATTGATTTCATACATATCTTACCATTTTTCCATTGGTTCATTGTAAATAAACAAATTCTCAATCAATGTTTTATTGAGTGGTTATTTTAATTATGTTACTTAGAAATCGTTCATTCTTAAATTGCAGTCTAATTAATTACTACATTAACGTGTGTTTCTATTTGAATTGATACGTCATTTTTTACACTTTTTAGAAAAACTCAACATGAAGATTTTCTAGACATATATTGATAAGAAAAGCTCAGTTGTCTCCTAAGTAATAATAACGATTTAAATGCTCCTTTTAAGGGGCATTGATTGATCGAGAGAAAAAATCATGTACAAATATGCATCATCTTTCATGTCTTATTTGATATCATATGAATTACCAGAAATCTTTACGCAATACAAGGTCTTTTTTATCATACATAGAATCTATGTTGTGTTATTACGTATATAATAAATAATATAATTGTGTGTATTGTGTCTATATTTATATCTCATTTGAAATTGAGTTTATATTTTATGTTTCTTTTATCATTTGGGATAAGATCATCTATGAATAATTCCATTTATTTTTCGACGCTGTTTTAGAAATAGTAGACAATTTATATCTATATTTAATAATAGAACTTATCAATAGTAAAGGCAGATTTGTCCTATAAGAAATGCATACAACCATATACTTATGATTACACCATCTCATGAACAGCATAATATACTACGTAAATATATAAGAAATAATGAAGAAAAAAAATTCCATTTGACGTTTCAAAATACAGCTTCTATTAATGATAGAATGTGTTGATGGTTACTATGACCAGGACTGCAGTACTAGGTGTGGGCAATGTCGTGAGGGAATTTGTGACAAGAAAAACGGAAGTTGTTCATCTGGTTGTAAACTAAACTGCAAAAACCCACTATGTCAAGGTAAATAATCGAGCCTCGACTTAGATGTTCATGCAGACATGTAAAATAATCATCTAGGTTTTTTTATTTGTAGCTTTAAAACAAAAGAGGATTGCTACTAACATGATGAAAACAGATTCAGTTTTCAAAAATAACAGTTGTTTATGAAAAGAATTTTCATATAGAGATATACAGATGTTAATTCTATTTTTAAAATAAAACCAACTAACGTGTAAAAGAGATAGATAAGAAAAAGAATGACTGTGAACAGATTGGTAGCATTTTTGGATAGTTATGATCTGATTTATGAGAGGAAATAAATTTAAATGAGTTTAATTGAGGGAAGCGCAATTTTTCTTATAATTAATATACATGTGTAATTCCCGAGGTTTATTTCAAAAACATTTACTCAGAGAAAATTATGTGACGAATTCCTAACTACATTTTTGCCTCTTTGATATGAATATAGACCATGTTTCTTCATTCGGCGGAGCGGGAGTGATAGATCGGCAAGGGAGGATCACTCCTCCATGGCACCTATGTTATTTTGTATTTAATTGCACTGATGATCTCTGAATTAAAATAATTAAAAGGAACTAAAAAAGGACAATATTAAAAATCTATAGTTTCGATATTTAAAACCACAGCAGGTTTCAATAGAGTAAACATCATTAAACTGAGATTTTTTTTCAAATAAAAAAGATTCTCACAAGAACAGAAAAAAAGCAATGCATGCAATTTGTCCATGTTCCGTTTTAAAAACCTACATTTTATACTTTGACAAACAATATAATATTTTCAAAATAAATATTAAGTGGGAATTCTGTTTTCAGAAAATCATTAGACGTGCAAATATGTATTAAAGCATATTTTTTATTTGAAAAATCCTGGTCTTTCCTTAAGCTTTGTATGAATATATAAATATGCCTGTTCTAGAAAAGAGAAACATTTTTATTTAATTTAATTAGCAATAAATTTCCAATTTAGATTGTGTTGATGGATATTATGGCAAGAATTGCAACACAAAATGTGGGAACTGTCTCCAAGGAGTTTGTGACTAGAAAAATGGCACCTGTAGGAGTGGTTGCTTACAGAACTGGCGGGAACCGTTTTGTCAGGGTCAGAATTTTTCAATGTTTCCACATTTCCTCGATACAACGTTTAAGTTCAGCTAATTGTTTGTAGGGGAAAAAAGTACAAGCAAATTCCTTGCAATAATCAATGAATGCACTATAATTTTTGCATTTCTGATTTTATATTATTATTTCAAGTAAATGGTTTCTTTGGGGAAAAAAATAGAAACAGATTAAGAAAAAGTTACGAGCTGACTTTTTTAAAGTGAATTTCGAATAAAGTAGGAACACTGGTGAAATTTCTTTGTTAAACAAAAACATGTACCTTCATTTCTCATCTTTATGAAATGAAAATGCAATGTTAATTAAAAGAAATTGCTTAAATATTTTTTTAGTTTGTGTCATTAAGGTCTTGCGTCCTCGACGGGAGGCTTTTTATTCATCGATTTCCTTTCCGTTTTTTTAAAAGCATATTTTGTTTTGGAAATAATGAAAATCAATATTAATTTGTAATTAGTTATCAATATTAAAGGCAGTTTTGTTCTATGAAATAACAACATTCAGCCATCATATGTATGAGAGGTAGATTAAACCATCCAATTGAAAACATTTTTATACAACGTTAAAAGGTGTTTAAAATAAAAACATATTGCATTCAATATGATAACACTCCTCCATTTGACGTTTCAAAATACAGCTTCTATTAATGATAGAATGTGTTGATGGTTACTATGACCAGGACTGCAGTACTAGGTGTGGGCAATGTCGTGAGGGAATTTGTGACAAGAAAAACGGAAGTTGTTCATCTGGTTGTAAACTAAACTGGAAAGAACCACTATGTCAAGGTAAATAATTTAGCATTAAGATGCCCTCTTTGATTTTAACAGGTATATATACGTTTGTAAAAAAAAATAATCTAGTTATAAAATTATATTCTCATAATTGTATCGTTTATTAAATTCCTAATGCTTTTAAAAGAATGGTTTTTATTTTGAACATTCTACCATATTTAAATGTTTATGTAGTGTTTAAGGGAAGAGAAACTTTTACTTTTTCATTTAACGATTTTTTTAAAATTCAGAATGTGTTGATGGGTGTTATGACAAGAATTGCAGTACAAAATGTGGAAACTGTCTCCAAGGAATTTGTCACAAGAAAAATGGCACCTGTAGGAGTAGTTGCTTACAGAACTGGCGGGAACCTTTGTGTCAGGGTTGGGTTGGGTTGTCATTTTCCTTATCAAGCTTTTTAACAAGGCCTGCTTTTTTTGCGCAAGTAGGCCAACTGGAAATTCACTTAAGGTTCTGAAAATCTATATTCATCTAAACTTTTCTAATCCATTATCTTTCTTATTCCTTTTGTTACTGTCTTTTCGCGACACATTTTCATAGACTGTGACGTCATAGCTGAGCGGTTGAGGCGTCTTGGCTAAGCGATTGTGATATTGAAAACATTGTAAATAGATATGGATTTCAACAACATATATAAAGAAGCCATACAAGTTTAATCTTTGATATAATGATTTATTTATTTCGTTTATTTTGGAACCGGATATGAAGTATTTTTTTTTTACAAAGTATTTGTGAAGCGTAGAAAGGTCGAGAGTTTTGCAACACACACTTCTTATGTTGTTTTACAATTTGAAAATTTTCATTTTATCACTGTTGGAAATTAATGTGTACAGAATAGATATTTAATCAGAATTATAATGAAAATTTTAAAAAATTCTGTATTTAAAAAAAGAGAATTTTAATATTAAGCACACATTTAAAAGGCAATCTATTATGTTAACATATGTAGCGAATATGTGTATTCTGTAAGAAAAAGTGTCAATCATGTATTTTATATTTAACTACTTTTGCATTATCATTAAATTTTCCAATTTAGAATGTATTGATGGACATTATGGCAAGAATTGCAGTGAAAAATGTGGAAATTGTCTTCAAGGAATTTGTGACAAGAAAAATGGAGTTTGTAAGAATGGGTGCTTACAGAACTGGCAAGGACCTTTGTGCCAAGGTAAAACTAAACTTCTTTTTCTCACAATTCCCTCTCAATATAACGTAATAACCTTTAACTCATTCTTTGTAGAAACAAAATTACATGACATGATAGATAAATGCACTTTAATTTTTTTTTTACTATATTCCTGCTTTAAGTCTACTCAACCCTTTTTAAAATTTAAATTTGTTGAAAGAGTTTGTTATAATCAAATAACCTGCATGGCTGTGAAAATGAAGAAATTGAAGCAAGCACAGACAGACGGTAGCTAGATATTGCTTTACGTAGAAGGTAGACTGGTTATTTCATGGTTACTTAAATAAGAGGAAATTTTTATTTCAGTGTGTGAACGTTACAAATATGGCCCTAATTGTGTATTTAATTGTGGTCACTGCAAAGGGAGCGAACCCTGCAACACAGGAAATGGAACATGCGTAAATGGTTGTGAACCTGACTGGGAGGGAGCATTTTGTGTTAAAGGTAGATAAGAATCAAATTTCCAAGCCTTCATGGAGGATTTTATTTAAATTTTCTATCTATTTATCATGTAATCAATGGTAGCATAAGAATTATTTTGATTTTATTTAAACATATTTTATTTTGTAATAATTACATCCACTGAATACGTTCTCCTTTAATTTTTTTTAAAGAAAACCATTGCCGTTTATCAGGTCATGAACAACACTAGGCATATATCACCTGTATAGATTTCTTAATTCATGCGTGTTCCATCAATTACGCGTACTGTGACGACATATCAAAAATACAATAATTATCTGGTTAATCCTATGTTAAATGATTCTTCATACAGATATTAACAAAACATTAAAAGGCATTCTTTAGTTGTTAGTACGGTTATTAATGTCGCAGCTGTTGCAGGAAAAAAAAATACATAACCCGCGTAAAATAAAGCATTTTATTCTTTAATAATACATAGGCAGAAGGAATAGCTTATATAAGCCCCCTACAAATTATTTTGATTTGTATTTTTAGCTTCTTCTTCTTCAGAAGAAGAAAGAACAGAGGGTAAGTAGTTTTTTTTAAATCAATTTGAGAAGAATTTTTTTACCAGATGAGACGTTAACGACATAAGTCCATTGAGTTGAATTCTATTGTTTTGTTTTCTTTTTTAGACAAACAGATGTCTAAGACGTTATTGCTCTTCTTTTCCGTCATTTCAACACTTCTGGCAGTTTTACTCATCTGTTCCCTGATCATATTTTTATATATCAGGAAAACTAGATGTGTACAACAGAATGAAAGAAATGAAAGAATGTCTAGCAAGGATACGGTAGAAAAGTATCAGGAGTTAAAAGGCGGGAAGAAAGAGAACCATGATTCAGTTTTTGATTCCACAAAGAAGGAATCGGCATACCAAGAACTATATACATATAGAAACACTGGGTTTTATGAGAGTACATAAAAGTGTGTCTTGCTTGATGATGAAATCAGTACAATATCTTTAAATGAATTTTAAGAATTGTTTCCAAAGATTGAAATTTCCTCTTTGAGCAACAATTTCTAATCTTGTATGGCAGAAATTTAAGGAAAATATCTAAAATATTGAAATGATAGATTTAATGAAGCTTGTGCTAACATATTTTCATAATAAAATTGTATATCTTTATCCAATTGCCCAGTATGACAGTATTAATTTGCTTCAATATCGAATGAATAACTTTTGCTAAAATAGTTTCTATCGAAAATTATCTCTATACAATTGTAATCCGAAAACTCCTTAAATCACTCGAGTGATATGACATTACAATTGTTCCGTAAAAGTTGCAATTTTTACCTCAATCTGTAAGTTTGATGAATTTTGTGGATAAATTTTATATGGAATGCCCGAACTATTAAAGGGGTTAAAATGGCGGCAAGGGGGAAGGTTGTATTTTCCAACATTCTATAAAGTGACACCACCTGGAAAAACTTTTACGCAAGGTCTTTGTTGGTTAACAATGTCCCCAGAGTGCAGGTAACTGGGAGGGAATGCTTATTTAATCAAATAAAATGCACACTCTCTACACCGAAACATTAAGAAATAAACGTTTAGAATATACATGTACAAGTACTAATAAACACAGCATACGCAGAATTTGTAATTTAAATCATTTCAGTTCAGAGTTTCATTTCCAGGCTATTTTGAATTTGCCATTTTAACCTGTATTAGATATAAGAAATCAATGAAATGACTTTCTTTTAGGGATTATTTCGACCTATACAACACTATTAACTAAGTTTAAAAAAAAAAACAAGGCTATTGACATATTTAATAAGCTATGTATACAATTACATTACTATTTTATTTTCTTATTCAGTTATACATGTACTGGTGGATTTAGAGGGCGCCCGGCCCCCCTTTGTGTCCAAAATATATCAGATATAATTATATGATTTAATGATTCAATTTTTGGTGTGTCTGTGGGACCCCTTAACCCTGACCAACAACTGGTCGGACCCCCTTTTCAATACTCCTGGATCCACCACTGACATGAAGACATTAAATCAAACCTATCTCTTATTGATAGTGTGTATCTGTTTGTTTACATTTTCATACTTGTTTTATCAATATTAATAAGTTTAAAATACAAAGCACAGGTGCGCAGAGCAACTTACCTTTGACCTATTATAAAAGCCATTGATACGTGGAAGGAGGACTTCAACAATCATGGCAGATAATGACCTGAAATATCCACTAGGCTCTCCCCAAGAGAATATAAAAATGTGTCAACCTCATAACTTTCCTATTGATGTGATTTGTGAAGACTGCGATGAATTCATTTGTGGTAAGTGTGCTAAAACAGATCATAGAGATCACGAATGGAGCACTATACCCACGGCAGCCACCCATAGGAGAAGAGGTCTGCGTAAATGTCTGACCAAGGTCAAGGAAGAAGATCTGCCTTGGATTGATGAAAAATTGGAAGTAATATCAAAACAATTATCAGAAAATGAAAAACTGTGTAAATCTGAGATCAAAAAGCTTCAAAAGCATTATGATGAAATAATAATCAGGTTTTCAGAACTCAGGAAGCAAAATGAAGAACGATTAAAAGAAAATTTAAAGGACAAAAATGAAAAATTGAATGCTGTGAAATCTGTATTAAATAAAAAGAAGAAAGCTATTGCAGAGACAGTTCAGTTTATGGAGGATAACAATAATACCATGTCAGATTACGGCTTGCTTGACAACCACAGGGATCTGACAAAACTGCTTTCTGGCCTGAATGTTAATATAGAGGACTGTAAACATTCAGTGAGGTACATTAAAGAAGAAATCAGTGAGGAGGTGCTTGGAAATATGATTGGACAAACTTTGGATATAGATAAAATTAGTTTGACTGGAAGAAGCGTATTTAAATATGGAGATAAAATGATAGATTTGTTGAGGGCATTCTGTGAAGATCAGTGCTACATTAGACAATTAGAGTCAGACTGCATTGAACAAGTAAACAAAGAAGGTGAGAAAAAGAATGCCTATAGTTTCAGTCCAAGTGACATGTGTATAACCGATATTGATGAAGTTTATTGTACTGACTCAAGCAACCATACCATCAGCTGTCTGTCACCATCAGGGTCTCTTTCTACAGTCATAAGTACAGATCCACAGGTTCCAATAGGAATCTGCCCGTCAGTACATAGTGGACTTCTGGTCACCTTTATTGATCACGAATTAGAATCACAGAGCAAGAGTGTGGTGAAGCACCTGACAGTGACAGGTGACGTCATACAGAAGTATGAGTACCAGGAGGACGATCAGACCAGACTATTTACTTTGCCAATCAGAATAACCCAAAACCATAACAGCGATATCTGTATAGTGAACTATACAAGTGGCACTTCAGGTGATCTAATGATTATGTCTCCCTCTGGGCGTATGAAAGCTGTCTACAATGGACACAACCTGATGAAGAGCTTTATTTCGAGAGATGTAGTGTGTGACCCCCTCTGTAACATCCTTGTTACTGACATTAACAACAACCAGATCCATCTGCTAAGTCCTGACGGGGAAATCCTGAAGTTCATTCTGACAGAGACTGAAGTTAACCATCCATACTCACTGTCCATATACAGGTCTGCATTGTGGGTTGGATACTCCACTGGAATTGTAAAAGTGTTTAAGTATAGAATGTGAACTTTTACAATCATTCAATAGAATGATATTCATTTATGTATCTTTCAGCATATTTCGAAGATAAAATCACGCCAGTATAAATGATTTGAACTGATAGTATAATGTGATATAAAGAGTATTAATATCTTGTACATTCAAATCAAAATAACATTTCCTACAAATCGTAAAAAAAATCAAACTGATAGTAATGTTTTTCAGCACTCACGTTCAAAACCTTGGAAATGTTTCAATACATTGTTACAACGCAAAATGTAATAACAACGCGAATGTAATTAACATGGATTATTACATTTTGCATAGAAATCAACGCAGAATGTAATAACGCAAGATGTAACAACACACTTTTGAGGATTATTACATTTCGCATTATAACATTTTGCGTCGAGATCAACGCAATATGTAATAACGAAAAATGTAATAACACGATTTTTGGATTATTACATTTTTGCTTTGTTACATTTTGCGTCGAGATTAAGCAAAAAAACAAGAACGCAAAATGTAATAACACACTCTTTGGTCACACAGATTGAGTACAACTTTTAATAGAGTAGTGGCCGATGAAGAGGAAACAAAAAAAAACAAAAAACCCAGATATATGCAATGTCTTCCAAGAAGGATATGGAGATAACGAACAGCATTCAATCTCAAAGTCCATTAAACAATATACAAATCAGAGTATAGGAAACAAATGCAAGGAACCTAAAAGAAAACATCAGAATATATTGATTTGCAAATCAAGTGAGCATCCCCCCCCCCCGGTCACACCCGCCGTGTGCTCGTTGTCATGATCAGGAAATTACGGAAGAAATCCGTCGTCAATTAAGTGTATAAATAATGGACTAACAATTAATGAATTTCATAATATATTGATTTAACAAGTTACATGTATTTAAAATCAGTTTAATAAATGTATTCAAATTATATGTGTTGTAAATTAGAAACGCGCGTGTGTAGATGGGGTTGTTGGGGGTATTGATCGGTGTACTTTAGACAAATGCAATGAATCTAAAAGAAAACCTTTTATTTGTACTTGCAGGTGTAAATATATATCGGAAGGGGTTTTGACAATTGTGATACCATACTGTTCCATGCAAATCACCAGCATTGCAGACAAGCAAAACACTCCCCCCATCTCTTTCTCCATCCAATAATAAAATGGATTGTTTCTGCATGTCATTAGTAATACAATGATAAAGATACTAAGTAAACACTGCACCCTATATCTGCCCTTCCTCGCTTGATACACATATACATGTACACTTCCTTGTTAACCAATGTACACATGCCAAACATGCATATCAAGAGCTAATAATGAAGCTACTATAGTCAATCTTTAATAATTAAATAAATTATGTGTTATTGGTTGGAAATTTAATAAGACTACCAAAAATAAGCCAATCAAAGTTAAATAACGATGCATGTGTACATAACGAACAGTATTCAATCTCGAAGTCCATAAAACAGTACAAAATAGGAGCAGAGCAACCACGGACCTCTGCTGAAGATGCATTTGATGTATTTATGTCCGTAAAAGCCCTAGCATTGGTCTCATTGTTTTAGTTCTTAACATTTTGTACAACGTGTTTCCCATGTGAGTTTTACGTATATTTTGAAACAATTGTATGTTTTTTTTTTTGTTAAACGCAATAAAAAAAAGATTGTATTTTGTTTTATAACATATTTTTTTAATTACATTTTGTGTTGTCTTCATCTGTTCAGTGCAAAAATAAAATAACGCAATGTAACAACGAAAAAGCACGTTATTACATTTTGCGTTGTTCTCGACGAAAAATGTATAAATGCAAAATGTAATAATCTAAAATCGTGTTATTACATTTTGCATTATTACATTCTGTGTTGATTTCGACGCCAAATGTTATAACGCCAAATGTTATAATCCAGGTTTATTACATTTTGCGTTGTTATTACATTTCGCGTTTTAACAATACATGTACCTGATACCAACCAAAAATTAATCTTACCTTTAAACGAAAATGCTATAGTAAACTATAGGTAACTATAGTACCAAAGTAAAAACTTTGCAACTTTGATTTATCATACTGAAAACTTTGAAACTTTGATTTACTATATTGAAAACTTTGGAACTTTGATTTATGGTTTGCCCGAATGTGATGCACGTTGAGACATCATTACATATTTAATAACGGGTACGTTTTTAACGTATTTGAGTATATTTGCTAAGGCCTTTCTATAAATACAAATTAACACATTTTGAAATCCTAAAACGAGTATTTTACGTTTACAAATTTATGAAAAGGTATTTAAAAAATTAAACTTAGGAAAAATTGTCTTTAATATATGTTTTCTTATTATAGCGGACCCTGGTAACGTAATTAGGGTACATCGGACGAAATGTACACTGGCATGATACACGTTTCTCATATCTCTAAAACAATGTTCAAGTTTAATACCGTGTGTAACAAACAAGAAACAAATCAAAATAGATTTTTGAAAAAACGCGGGGTTTTTTTCAGTGGTAAAATTGTTAATACCAGTAATTCAAATGTTATAATAATCAACATAATTTTTAATTGATGATAGATCTTATATAGAAAGTCAACAAGAGACTCAGGGGTCATCATGAGCACTGTAGATATGGAAAAGCAAAAATCAGTTTAGTAAGGATAAGTTCAAATGCAGAAATGGTCCCGAACTACCCCTAATAGGGAGGGCTATGATTTGACACTGACAAGGAATCCCCACAAGTTTCTTCTTTTCTGGCCCATTTTTCAGAAGATGTTTGAATATTATCATTAATTTTCGCTATTTCGTTATTTCTCCTTCATCTAAAAAAAAACATGAACCCCCTTTACACAAGGATACTCATTGCTGAGTTTGGTTAAAATTGGTAGCATAGTTCTGTAGAAAAAGATGAAATTGTTAATAACAGACGATGGCCAAATTAGAAAAGCTCACTTGCGTCTTCGGCTAGATAAGCTTAATCTTTGATTCACCAAATTTATTGAGTAAAATATCTGGCTGGGGGCCATAAAAGTTAGCTTTAACGCTGAAGTACCAACTGCATTTTCAATAAAAACTTATGGAATTAGAATCCAGGTCAAAACTGGGTTTAACCTTCAGAAAGTAATAATGCATATGGTTGCTTAAGAAGTACTTTCATCAATGTTTTTTCTATCATTTGAAAATGTCGACTGATTATTTGACAAGCTAGATAAAAATATATTTGGATGATCAAAACAATAGCCAGTTGTTATACATGTAAGTACTTTTATTATCTAAAGCTAACATATATACAAGGCATAAAAATATACAATGTAATATTTACACAAAAATAATTCATTTATATGTTCAATGCTCAAAATTTCAAATTATTTTGACATAAAAAAATGTTTTTATGCAAAATATCAATGTGCCATAACATTTATCAAAGTCACAATTTTAATTAAAAAAATATTCTACATCTTTTAAAAAATTGGAACGACTTGTCTAAGAGATGAAATTTGACAAGTTTCTGAATAACATTGACAATATTTTGGAATCATTTACATACACGTGATTACAACATGTATTATAAATATAAGTCACACAAAAACCTAATTATACACAAACACATTATTATTATTATTATTATAACAGACTAATATACATATCATTAAAATCAGGAGGTATTGTCATAATTACTGTTTAGATCAAAGTTGATTATCATTTTTTTCTGAGAACATCCCAGTAAAGATACATTTTATATTTACTGATATTAACGATTGGTCCAGTAATTGCAAATACATATGACAAACATACACATTTATAAAAACAATAATTCATAAATTTAAAGGGGAAAACAATCATGATATACATTGCTTAATATATTTAAATTATTTTAACACGAATTGTTGCTATACAAAATACCCATGAACCACATACGAGTAGCTCATCCGAATCTCATTTTAAAATCAAAAATAAAAATAGTTCTATACTCTTAAAAAATGGTCTTGTTTAAGAGCTGAAGGTATGAAAAATTTCACTTACAATGACAACAATAAAAGTATTTAAAATTTAAGTAGATAAATTCAGTCATATAAGCTCATTAGCTTATTCTTCAAATACATGTAGGTACAAAAAATCAATGAATGGTAAAAACAATAGCATGTTAGTGTAAGTATAGTTGTTACCTAAACCAAAAGGTAAATCAAAGCATCAAATTATATTTACATGAGCATGGTTAAATAACATTGACAATATTTGGGCATCATTTACATACAAGTGATAACAAAATATATCAAACATCTAAAGTAGTAAAACAAAAACCTAATCATACACAAACTCGTTATAATTACAGACTGATACACTTATCATAAACATAGTAAGTGAATCACAACTTATCAAATAAACATTGCCTAGAATATCTCAATAAAGGTACAGGTGTATCATTTCTAATTGAATCCCAATTGGTTCAGTAATTACAAAAATATATGACAAACATACAAAAGTAAAAAAAAAATATTACTCAATTTTAAGGAATTAAACAATCATAAACATAGCTTTAAATAAGATTTTAAAAATTATTTTTGACATAAGATACACAATACCCTTGTACCAGAATGCTTAGCAATTAAAACCATGCATTTTAAAAATTAAAAATAATTGCTTAAAAATTTTTTTGTTTCTTAAGAGATTAAATTTTGAAAAGTTTAACCTAGAATGACCACAACAAAAATACTTATTAATAATAAAACACCGTAGATAAATTCTAGTCAGAGAAGGTCACTAACTTTTACTTTTTTCCCTCTCTTGTGCTTTTTTGGCAAGATGCACTTTAACTTCAGAACTAAAATTAGCTTTATTATCTATCAACCTAACTTCCAAAGGAAGAGAATTCCAGTCTAAAATTGCATGATAGTAAAAATTTGGCTTGTTGTAAGCACTAACGGGTGGAACAGGTAAATTTCGATTTGAAGCCCATTCTTTATCCTTCTCATCAATGTCAAAATGTTCATGTAGGTATTTAGGTCTAAAGCCATAGATAATGTTATGGACATGTTTAAGTCTTAATTGTTTTACTTGGTCAGCCACACAAAGTGTGTTTTTTGAATCTGTAGATTTCAAACTTTTACCAATGTATCTTATTGTGTTGTCTTGAACTATTTGAAGCTCATTCTTCAAGGGTTCAGAAAGACTTTCATACCAAGCAGAGGAACAGCAATCAAAGCAAGGTAGAATAAGTTCTGAAGCTAATGATGACCTTAACTTTGTTTTCCATGGATTTTCTGTTCTTTTAAGAAACTTAAGTCTTGATTTGACCTTGGCTACAATCTCATTCACTAAGAGAGTAAATTTTAGAAACTTGTCAATTGTTATCCCCAGATATTTGACATGTTCACTTGCTTTGACATAATCAAATTGACATCTGACCTTAAATTTTCTTGTTTTACTTAGTTTGTGCCTTGGGCCAAATAGAATACACCTTTTCCTTCCAAGGATTAGCTTGTTTTCTTTAAGCCATTCAGAGCATTGGTTAAACTGCTTACTAAGATTTTTTGAAATCTTATAGGAGTCTTCATTTGAATAAAGGATGGCAATCTTGTCTTCATAAAGAATAAGCTTACAGTCGGGGTCTATACTAATTGGTAAATCATTTATATAGCATAAAAATAGTAAATGCCCTAAGCTGTTCCCTTTCGGTAAACCACTAGTACTATCCACTGATGTTGAAAGAACACCCCCACATTCTACCACCTGAGTCCTTCCTGTTAAGTATGATTTAAACCATGGGCTACGAATTCCCATTTTATTTAATTTATTGCATAAAATTTCATGGTCTACTGTATTGAAAGCTTGTTGCAAATTTAATATAAGCATACCAGTAAAAAGCTCCTTAGAAGTATTGTCCCTTATATGATCTAACAAATTTATTAAACAAGAATCGGCATAAAATCCACTTTGAAATCCATACTGAAGCTCATAAAGCAAATTGTTAGCATGTAAAAAATATTGAAGCTGACAAACTACATGCTTTTCTAAGATCTTAGCTGACACATTTTGAGAACTCATACACACTGGTTTGTATTTTTCAACATTAAGTGTAGCATCCCCTTGAGATGAACTACCCTTTATAAGCACAGGCTTGACTTTGTTTTGTTTCATATCTTTAGGTACAATTCCAGATTCTAAGGACTGATTGATGATAGATGTTAATGATTTTTTACATTTACTTGCAGCTAACTTTAAATCTTCTGGTATTTTGTCAAGGTCAGTGACATTTTTCATAAAAAGACAAAAAAATTCATCATTTACATATTTTTCTTGGACATGACCTAAATTATTAAGAGCATGGTTTTTCAAATTTCTTTTTGAATAAAAGTTCCTGAAATGATCTGACTTGACATTGTATGTACCTTTTGAAGTGGGCACGTGTGAAACTAGTTCCATAGTAAAATAGGTATTAAAATGATTTGCAATTTTCTTATCATCAAGGCAAATGCTATCCTTTATATACAAAACTTTTTTTGGTTCTTCTTTTTCTGGGTTTATAAAGCTTAGATCTTTCAACTGTTGCTTTAACTTTTTAGGATTATAATTAATTTCTTCAATTTTTTTATTTATATATTCTAATCTTGCCTTTCGATACATTTCTACTAGTAAATTTCTAGCATCTGAATACTTTATATATTTATCTCTTGCATGTTTTTCAAATAAAATTCTATCTTCTTTACTTAGTACATGTTTAACTTTTTCACTTACATACTTAAAAAAATCATTAAATAGCCTGTCTCTTTTATTTAGTTGATTAAGTATACAGGTGTAATCATTCATAATCCACGGGTCAATTATCTGTTTTGATCTGACAGGACCAAAACTATTAATGATTTTTAAGAATTTATCAAGAAAACCATTCAAGTTTTCTTCATCACTGTCAGATGTTGTAAAAGATGTCCAATCAATTTCTCTTATTTCTTTAACAAACAATTTAGAATCATGAAGATTTTCTTGTCTTCCTGTACCTTCTCTATTTTGACCTGGTGATATTTTTCTTGTACATGTACAATAAATCATGTTGTGATCACTAAGACCCAGATTGATAGTTCCCACTTTATAATCTTTATAATTTTCTTCAGCAACTTTTACTAGAATATGATCTATTTGTGAACAACTAAAATGTACAGGATCAATTCTTGTTAGTCTTTCTATCAATTGCTTAAACCCAAATAAATTCAGAATACCTGCATATTTTTTGTATGGTGAATTTTTCTTGAGCTTACATATATTAAAGTCACCAAGGATAATACATTCTAAATCGTCTAATCTTAAGCAATCTAAGCAATGTGTAAATGTTATTATTTTTGGACTGTATACTGTGCCGACTATAAAGGGATCTGTTTCTGGTAAGTAGACTTTCACCCAAACTGACTCAATAAGCTTATATTTAAGTTCTAGCTGAGTGAAAGCAATTTTATTGTTGATATACATGCACACTCCACCACCCCGTTTGTTTTCCCTGTCTTTCCGGATCACTGTATAGCCCTCAATAGAGATGTGAAAGTCCTCAAATGAAGAATCTAACCATGTTTCACTTATTCCTATCACTGACGCATTTGTTTTTTCGGCTATGATTCGGATTTCAGACATTTTCGGAAATAATGATTTTACATTTAAGTGTATAAAGTGCATGCCTTCTTGTTTAAAAACCTGAAACTTCTCATCGATCAAGTCCATGGCGTAGTTTTCTGTCAAAATCTGCACCTGCTGAGATATAAATAGGTGATTATAATATGAATTAGAATGTATGTCAATCAAAATAAAAACGAAACACTTATATTTAGGTAAAATAAATTTATGCTCAGTATTGCATTTACAATAATTACAAAAGGCCAATGGGCTACTACGCTCACCTGAGTAACTATAGCTATTCTTGTTTTTCACCAGCATATATATTTCTTTGTAAATGTTTGAACTCTACTGAAGCTCCATTTTACACACGGGGTCATATTTATACACTACCTGAGGATGGTTTCATATACATTTACTGTATACATGGTTATTCTGCCAGCGTAATTTTCGCTTGTTCACACTTGCAAACAATGTTGCCCAGTTTTAAATTCACCCAGTGATAGTTTCAATTATAAATTTAAACTATGTTCTTTGATATTGACCAATCTAGGATTCGCTTCCATGAATAGGACTACAGGGGCAAAATTAAAACAGGGGTAAAAAAAATTAAAATATACAGTGATATGACTTATATCATTGTTTTGTTGTTCTTGTGAAGATTTTTTAAAATTTGCCTACCTATTCCTATGTAAAACTTTGAACACCCATTATGGCCCCATCTTACCTCTTTGCTGTCCTGATTTGAATAGAACACAGGTAATCAATTATGAAGCTCATTTTGATGAATGTTATCAGTTTAAGGATGCAAATCTCAAATCATATTTTCTTGATAGTTAGTGTGCATATTGGCAACAATATCTATTCACATTCTTTTTTAGCAGGTGTATATAGTTCAATGGGAATTGACCTGTTTTGAAAATTTTAAGCTATTTAGGCCAGAAGTAAAAATATCTTTGTTTCCCCTAACCCGACCCTTAATTCTCAAGTTGGGTCGGTAGGTAGGTTAACAATTTTATTTTCCGACAGCAGGTTTGAAAATATTTTCTAAATTTAATGGAAAAATTACCTTTATATTTAAGAAAAGTACAAAATTAATAAAGCTATTTGAGAACAAAATGCTAAGTATTGTACATATGCCGTTTAAAAGCAAAATTCATGATTAATTAATTCACAGCTGTTATGTAGTTGAAATTGTAAAATATCTCACGCCATTTGAATTGAATCAAATAGACAAGATTCTCAAATACGCAAAGATCAGACATACGTGCATATTTTTGTCAATCCTTTCATCAGCATTCAGAGTTAATAGACGATCAATATGTACTTTTGTGAGGGCCATGAGATCTGCAGTGGTTTTGGAGCATTTTACTTTGGAATCAAGAAGTGGCTAATTTTAAATCGCAGGCTCAAATTCCGATGAGTAACGTTGAAAACGGTCCTTCAGAGGGGACCATTTAAACTTACGTCCAGAAGATGCTGGCTCAAGAAAAATCCTCCACTGCTTAATGGCAAAAAAGTGCTGAGTATGTCTAAATTTGGAGCAATGGGGAAATGTTTAAATGTCGTCCTAACAAATCTCGAAGGAATTAAAAGTTAAAAAAGACTTCAAGGGCCTAATTCAAGAAAAATACACTGGACGTCTCAGGAAGCTGAATCATGATTTCAAAACTATTTGGAAAGAGTATTTTAACAATATTTAATTGAACCAAACCGAATCTACAAATGATAAAAATGCTATATACAATGTTATAGTCACGAAGTTTAACCACTAAATAAAGGCAGGAAGAAAGGACATCCGAATTATATTTATGAGGATGAATATGCAGACATATTTACAACTTCTATGGCTCCATAATGGCATGGGCATATAGTAAACGTAGGAACATAGATGAACTGGGGGTCATAACATAAAGGCTACTTAAGGGGGCCGACTATAGTTTTATTGTGTGAAAACTACAATAGCGAAACTCTTCATTTTCATACCATATATAACGTACATTAACTTCAGTGTACATGCAAAGTTTGGGGGAAATCTATCGTCCAGGTATTTTTGAGGGACCGTCTCAAAATACAGGTACATTTACTATAGAATTATACAGGAAAATGCCAATTTTTAGAACTTTAAAGCAAATTATACAAATACTACAATAGACATTTTGTTCAAACTATAATATTTGATGAGTAATACTATATTATACAATATATGTAAGAAACACAAAATTCTACCGTCTTGTTACCAGAGGGGACATCTCAAAATGCAAAAAATTAGCAAATTTTACTATTTTTATGGAGTATTACAAAATATGACGCACACAATGAATTCACATGAAAACATAATAAAAATATTGGAGATATCATCAAATTTCTATGTTTTAAATTTCAAGAGCGTATGTTTATTACTTTTTCTTTAATAATATTTTTATTACCCCTTTCTTTAAGAGCTACTGATTATCATAACGTAAAAACACACTGCAACGACGTCAACCTACCTATCAATTGCAAAATCGGTTAAAAAATCAGTTATATCAAATTGTAATTACATTTTCATACCTATAATTTCTTAATTTTGTTTAATTTTAATAATTAAGCGAAAAAAAGTTGCATTAAAACCGTAAATACGCTTCATTTTACTATGATGCGCAAAATATTGCGCAGTGGAAACTATAGTCGGCCCCCTTAAGTCTAAGACCGTGCTTAAGTAGGACTTAAGTACAGTCTAAAACTTAAGACCGTAACTAGAAGCGTACTAAGATTTGGCAATCTTAGCAAAACTTAGGCGGCCGGTATAGGTGCCTAAGTAAATTAAATAAAATGAATTTGAAATTGAATGATGTGTACACTATTGGTGGCCCCTCATCTACTCATGAGGCGGGCCTTACCATGTATTATGTACCTTAAATTCAAAGACAGGTTTGTTTGTTGTTTTACGTTCCTTTCGAAAATTTATTCACTCACATGGAGACGCCAAAACACCTCCGAAACACTCTTAATTGGTCATGGTAAATTTTATTATCAAACTGTTTCAATAGTGAAGGGTTCCAATTAGCTAAAAACATAAGACTGAGACGTCGTCATTGTTTTATGAAGAGCTAATACGATGTCGGCCGTTCTGATAAATAAAGTGCCCCGCCACAGCATGATACGCCCGTCAAATATTGTCCAATAATCATAAATTGGTTAGGATGCAAGAAAATCAGGTAGCCTTGATTAACAGATTGACACAGATTTCAATTATCTATTTTCCATTTCTTATTATACATCTCTAAGAGACTTGCAGTGTAGGGATTGATTATAACAAATAATACTAGTGAGACATGACTGCAATTTGTAGCAAATATATAAAAATTGAAATATGTTTGTTTTTTTTTCAATTAACACATGTATAATTAGTTTTAATCATATTGTACAATACTTAGTCTAATTTAGTTTTAATCATACACTAAAACATCAATTTGTTTTAATTAATTACACCAATTGAAAGATCTTTATCTGGACTAGACATCAACTCCCAAGAGATAAATTAAGATAACTGCTACACCAGATCTAGAGTGCTCCTGACAATAAACTCATTAATTTCTCTCTAATTTGACATGCAAATTTCTGCTATCAAAATTCTTCTTGACCAGTGCTTGATAATTAACCCCATGGGACAAACTGAATTCCTCTCAAAGCATAAACATTTGTTACAGATTGCTGTAAAGTATATAATGAAAAAATAAGTTTTTACTTAATAATTTAATGTTTTTTAATAAGGATACAACTATATTTTTACATTTTTTAGGATTATGAAATTTAGAATTTAAAAGACATAGTTTTTTAAAAAATTCATTTTGATTAAAGGTCACAGTAACCTTGAAATAGGCCGCAACACACCTTCTACTTTAGATGTATACTTTTGCTAAGTTTGAAAGCTCTAGGTCTAATAGTTTTCTAGTTATGAGCCGGACAGGATTTTTTCCATATTTTGCTATAGCATCTTTGTTGCGAATATATAAAAATTGAAATATAATTTTTTTTTTTAAATGAACACATATATAATTAGTTTTAATCATATTATACAATACTAATTTAGTTTTAATCATACACTAAAACATCAATTTGTTTTAATTTCATTACACCTATTTAAAGATCTTTATCTGGACTAGCCATCAAGAACTCTTAATTAGCACAAGCAACTATGAGGCCATTTCTTTTTGCCCAACTCCCAAGAGATAAATTAAGATAACATCTGCATCAGATCTAGATGTGCTCTTAGCTCCTGACAATAAACTCATTAATTTCTCTCTAATTTGGCATGCAAATTTCTGCTATCAAAATTCTTCTTGACCAGTGCTTGATAATTAAGCCCATGGGACAAACTGAATTCCTCTCAAAGCATAAACATTTGTTACAGATTGCTATAAAGTATATAATGAAAAAACAAGTTTTTACTTAATTTAACATTTTTTAATAAGCATACAACTATATTTTTACATTTTTTAGGATTATGGAATTTAGAATTTAAAAGACATATTTTTTTTAAAAATTCACTATAATTAAAGGTCACAGTGACCTTGAAATAGGCCGCAACACACCCTCTACTTTAGATGTATACTTTTGCCAAGTTTGAAAGCTCTATGTCTATTAGTTTTCTAGTTATGAGCCGGACAGGATTTTTCCATATTTGGCTATAGCATCTTTATTAAAGGTCAGAGCGACCTACTTTTTGTGCGCGACACACCGTCTACCCAAGAAGTATGAGTTGACAAAGTATGATAATCCTAGGCCTAATAGTATTCAAGTTATGAGCCGGACAGGAATGGACAGACGGACAGACGGAAGGACGGACGGACACGAAGCCTATAACATAATACGTCCCGTCTTAAGACGGGCGTATAAAAATGATTTTAATGAATTTGTATTTTATAAAACTTGGTTAACAATAAAAATTATATTTGAATCACCTTATTTAAAAAATCTTTTCAGTCGGTGCGATTTAATTGGGTCAGTCGCGTTAGGGGAAACAAAGGTATTTTTTATTTTGGCCTTACTAATCACAAAAATGTCTTTCATTTCATACATCCTAAGCAAGTCTGGTCTTATCCATTCTTAAATGCATCATCCATGCTAACTAGAAAACTGACCAGTCAGCAAGG